GATCAATTTTTATTTTATATTTTTAAATGTGATATGTTGCTCTCATCAATTTCATCAGACAATGACTCAAGAGTAATATAACAACTAACAAACAATTAACAATTGACATAACGTAAAAATATGTTATGTTAATCGATTAACAGAGCCCCTACTTTATCATGAAGATTTCTAAATACTTGGATTAAAAAACAACGAAGGCATAGATCATCCTAGGAATAAATCAAGGAAACATTAAGTCATTGTCGAATATTTTGAGAACTATACCAACTTATATTAAATTAAACTTAATGTTTGTGATTATGAATTCCTATATACTTTCATAAATGATACATAATATTTTATATTAAATTTTCAGAACAAATATGTTATGTGAATATATCAGCTGAAGTTTATAGCTAAACCCAGAACAAAGGTAGAGTGCATTTTTAACAAATTCTTAACCAGTAAATAGTGACTTATACTATAAATGTAACTGTAGAGGAAACATATATCAACAATTTTTAGTTATTTAAAGTTTTTTATAGATTTCAATCCTCAACAAAAACAAATAAAACTCAAGAAAAAATACCACAACATTAATTTTTAAAATACTGAAATTATATATTAAAAATGTCCTCATTACTGAGACTTATGAAATTATTTGTCTAAAAATTAATTAAATTAAATTTATTTTCAACTATTAATTAACAATTTCACACTAACCTCTTAAATGAATTTTGTACATACAGACAACTTCCTAAAGAACACAATATTCATATGAAATTTGTACCTTTAAAATGTTAGCTGACTTTCAATAGAAAATTAAATGACGAATGAAAGTACAATCAGGGTTTCAAATTTCTGTAGATATAACAGTGCGATTATATTCAATTAGAAATGAAATGACGAACAAAAGTGCTATCAGTATTTAGAATGTCTTTACAAAACCTCTATATAAATATTTTCAATGTTGAACATTTTTTTCAAATAATTGAATATTTTATTTAAAACAAAATAACGAATAAAAGTACCATCAGGGCTTAAAACTTCTTTAGAAAACTTCTATACAAACATTTTCAACATTAAAAATTTCTTCCAAATTTGTAATATTTTAAATTCTTAAATATTTCTTCTAACAAATCGTTTCATATATATAAAAATTACAAAGTTACTGTCATTCATTTAGTGACAGTAACTTGGTTTTCTTTAAGAACATTGTAATTTCGCATCATTTAAAATTCATAACCATTTAAACCCCCCACTGCTTTAAATACCTGTTAAAACAAGTAATGATAAGTTCATCTGTGGTATTGTTATTTGCTTTTACAAACATTTTTCATAAATGATTAATATAGTATATATACTATATATATATATGTGTGCGGAACTACTTTTCTTGAACGCATAACATAATAAAGTAATATACAAACAAAGTCACATCGATTCGCAAACTCATAAAATCCATTTGAAAATTGACGAATTCCTCTTAAAAGCGCTCAAAGTGAAATTCTCTAATTGTGAGCAGTGACATGAAGTCACATCCAGCAGCATCATTACTCATTTTGACAAATGTCACAAAGCACAAAAATGCGCACTATTTGCCATTTTGTGTTTCCTCCTTTAGTGCAGAGCAGCGAAGTGCCAATACTCAAGCAGAGCAGCTATTCCTTTAACAAACTGTATCCGCCTAAATAAAACTCCTTAATCTTCAGCAAAGTCATTCCATGTCATGGCGGCGGTGTTGATTATTTGCGCAAAACACGTTCCCATACAATTTCTCACCAGGACCTCGGAAGCAATGTCGAGTGCTAATGTAATGTCACTCTTCCAAAAGTCAAAATAATTAATGAATATTCTTTCATATTTAATACACACGCATACACAGGATTTCAGGATTTTATTACACACACTTAAGTGCGTAATTTGAAAGGCTTAAGCTTCGTAATGCTAAGGATTTGGTACACTTAAGTATGATTTGTTAAACATGATTATTGCTATGAATGATGTAGCGTATAAAACTTTTATCTACCTGTGTTATATTGAAAATTTATTTTGTATCTCAGCATTTTAGCGAAATGCTGAAATTTTCGCTTCATTTGCCGTTTTATTGTTTATTTTGCATACGTGCATTTAATTCTCATTTTACCCATTTTCGTCAACGAATTTTTTTTTTCTATTTGCTGAGACTATAATATGGCAAAAATATATCCTTTATCCTTTATTGTTGTTGTTGTTGTTGTTGTTGTAAATACACAAAGGAAGGGAAAATTCTGCTTAAAAGTTTTGTCAGTTCACTTTTGCCAATATGTTTTTCATCATTTTCAGATTTCATGCCAAGAAAAAAGTTTGTCTTATATTCAAAAATTCAAAAATTTCAAGGAAAATAATTCCTTGGAAAATAAAATAAAGAATAAAATAAGAATGCAATTGATATCATTTACTTTTTGTTAGGAGTTTGTCCTTTTAAGTTGAAAAATTGATTTTTCGCTTAAGCGAATTTTCTTTATTTTTGTAATGATTGACAAATTGCTTATAAAATCCACTTAAGTCCTTCACAAACTTTTTGTAAAATTAGTTTATTTTTTGCCACTGATTTTATAAGCGCCAGAGATTTCATTTTTTATTATTTTTTATCGGTATTTGTCCTTAACTTCCTTTAAA